CCGCAGCCAGAATCGACGCCGAACGGTAGTCGTCTCCGTGGGCCGTCACCAGCGTGTCGTCGGCGTAGCAGATGACCTGCACGCCACGCAGGTTAGCCCCGCGGAGGACCCAGTCAAACCCGACGTCCCACAGGAGCGGACCCAGAACCGACCCCTGCGGGACACCACACGAGACCGCCTTCTGTCCCCACCCCCTCCGCTCGGGAAAGACCACAGCCCGCCCTGCGAGGTAATCCTCGATCAGGTTCCAGAGACCGGTGGGGACGCGGTGAAACCTTAACGACTCCAAGATCGTGCTCCAGGGGATCGTATTGAAGGCGTTGGAGATGTCGATCGACACCGCCAACAACACGCCTCCCCGGGAGCACGCCTGGTCGGAGAGGCCGCGAACGCGCTGGACCGCGTCCAAGGTCGAGCGACCCCTCCGGAAACCGTATTGGCAGTCCGCCAAGTTTGGACCTACATTTTCCAAGTGCTGAACGAGGCGACTGGCGACGACGCGCTCCAAGAGCTTGCCGGCCTCGTCCAGGACGACGATCGGGCGATACCCCGAGGGTTGGTCCCTGGGGCGCCCCTCCTTCGGAATCAAAACCAACTTACCTTTTTTCCATATTGCCGGGAACCTACCCTCTCGGAGGCACCTGCTGAACAGCCCTCGGAGGACAGGTCCCAGGCCACCTTCCATCTTCAATGCCAGCGCCCAGGCCCGATTTGGAATTCCATCGGGACCTGGCGCCGTTCTTTTTAGTTTCATTTTTTNGCCCCTCCTTCGGAATCAAAACCAACTTACCTTTTTTCCATATTGCCGGGAACCTACCCTCTCGGAGGCACCTGCTGAACAGCCCTCGGAGGACAGGTCCCAGGCCACCTTCCATCTTCAATGCCAGCGCCCAGGCCCGATTTGGAATTCCATCGGGACCTGGCGCCGTTCTTTTTAGTTTCATTTTTTCGACGGCCGCATCAAATTCCACTGGCGACACGTCGTCCTCTTCTTCGGCCCGAGCCCCGTCTCGTGCTGACGACATGACTGGGGGAACAAAGGGAATCTCGGGTGCGCTCGGGAACAGTCCCCCGACCACATGCCGCACCATGTCAGGCGGCAGGGTACTCGTCGTGGGTGGGGCCCAGGGGCGCATGGTGCTCCGCGCGATGTGATAGGGTCGCCCCCACGGGTCACGGTCCAACGTCTCGAGCAGCTCCTTCCACGCCGCTTCCTTCGCCTCCCCGATCGCGACGCGCAGGGCGCGCACGTCCACCCGGTAAGCTTCGTACGCCCGGTCCTCCTCTTCCTCATCCCGACGCCTCCGACGACGAAGGTGCTGGTATCTACGTCGACTGCCGGCGCACCGGCGTCGCAGACCGGCGATTTCCACATTCCACCAATAGACTTGGCGCCTCGGCGCGTACGCTCGGACGCGGGGCATGGCGTGGTCGCAGACTCGCGACATCGCCTCGCGCAGCCGCTCCGCACCCTCGCGCACGCCCGCTGGCTCGCCCAGGGAGTCCAACCGCCAAGCCTGGACAACGGCCGCCTCCTGCAGTCGCTCCACGTCGAGGCGCTTCAGAGCCCAGCGCGGACCCTCCGCGCCACCATCAAGGGGCAAAGTCGCCGTCGAAGACTCCGGGGCCGCGGCTACACGAAAACGAATGTAGCGGTGGTCGGAGAGCGTCTCCACGTCGGACAACACTTTCCAACCGCGGACGCGGCGTGCGACGTCGGGGGTCGCGAACGACACATCCACCACGGACCCACCCGAACGACGGACGCATGTGTTCTCGGCGCCGCGGTTGAGGACAACGAGACCGCTCCCGACCAACCACTCCTCCATCTCCCGTCCCCTGGGACAGGTGACCGGGGAACCCCAAGCGGACGACTTCGCGTTGAGGTCCCCGAGAACGAGCGCGCGCCTTGAGCGCGACCTCCCCACTACCTGACCGAGTTCGTCTAGAAAGGACTCGAATTCGGCGAGCGGCCGGTTGGGGGAGAAGTACACCCCGACGACGAGCAAGCCTGCCCAGAAGACTGCCACGTAGCCCCGACCCCTCTGCACGACGTCGAATTCGGGCGGAGCGCCCACCGCCGACCGACGCTGGACCACGGCCACCAGGCCGTCAACATCTCCCGCCCAGTCGGGAACCGAAGGGACCCGGTAGGGCTCGGCGACGACCGCTAGATGGGTCAATCGCTCCGCCATGCTCTGGATCAGCAGGTCCTGAGCCCTGGCGGAGCGATTGAGATTGCCCTGAAGGATATTAAAAGGGCTGCTGGTCATCGTCCGTCGTCCATCGGTGTCGCCGTAGCCGTACCGGGCCGACTCCGCTGACTCTCTTCGGCGGTGCTCATCATCGGTCGTCTCTGTTTCGGGGGCTTGGCGCAAGCCTTGCCCCCGGAGACGTGCGCTGCAGGCCTACCGGTGCCGGCGCAGATCGTACAGTGCGGGGTGAGCGTGCAGCCCGCGGACTTGTGGCCGGTCTGGCCGCAGCGGTAGCACTCACCACTGCAGTCCACCGACGATGGGCAACGGGCACTCACGTGGCCCAGTGCGTGGCAGCGGTAGCACTGCAGGCGCCTCGCCTCGAGGAGTTGTGCGCGAAGGACGCTCCACCCGATCCGCAGCTTGTCGACGGCCAATATTCTTTTGACGCCCGCTATGGGGCATCTGACCAAGACCTGGCCAGTGCCTCCGGGGCCCATTTTTATTTCCCCAACCTTCACATTGTCGGGGGGGCACTCTCCAATCCTGGTGACTTCGGCAACAAGCTCTTCCCGGGATATGGACTCGTCGAGGCCGCTCAGTCTGACAGCGGCCGTTATTGTCGGCCTCGAGACGACAATGCTGTCCGAAGGCAAAACCTCCCTTAATTTATTCGCCAGCAAATCGGCTTTTTCGTTCTGGTCGGCGCCGTCTACGACCAATATCTTTGCTCCCGTCACCGCCGAGCGTATCCGCTGGATAGGGATCCCCAGCTCTGCCGGATCGATTTTAGCCCTGGCCTCGGCGAGGACCGATCGATAGGTGACTCCGCGCTCGACGGCCTCCGGCTGCAGCTTGACAATGACCGCCTGCGAGCGCGGTGGCCGGAGTTTCTTCTTCTTTTCCTTCAGGGGCGGTGGAGCGGGCACGGTGCCGGTCGCCGTTGCCGTCCTCGGCTTGGCGCCTCTTCGGGCTACCGTCGTCCAGGCTTCCGTCAGAGCAGCTGGGGCGGGGGGGAATGTCCGTGGTTCTGGGGGACCCGGCTGCTGCCTGTTTTTCGGCGCCTTCTTTTTCTGTGGGCCGCCACCGTTGGGTGCCGCGGTCGCGACCGCAGCTGTTGGTTCGGGCGTCGGCATTGATTCTTCTGCCGTTGGTGGTGTCGGCGTCTTTTCCTGAGCGCGGCTCCTCCTGTGGTCTGCGGCCAGCGGTGGCCTCAGCCTTGGCTCCGGCGGTAGCCGTGCTTCCATCACTGCGAGGCGCGCGTCTAGCATCGTTCCGACGGCACGCATGATGCGCTGGAGGCGCCGCTCCTCCTCATCGTCGCTCCGTTGGATCGGGGCGGGGGCAGGTACGGCTGCCGGTGATCCTACTGCATGGGCCAGGCGCGCTATCTCCGACCTCATGTCGGCGATCGCCTTCTTCATGTGCAGGATCTCGGCCTCCTGCCTGCTGCAGAGCTCCTGCAGCCTCTTATTTTCACCGTCGGTAGTCCTCGCTGCCATTTCTTCCTTGGCCTCCCGAATGGCGAAAGCCATCTCCTTCAGGGCACGTACGTATGTGCCCTTCAGGTTTCCTGACTTTGCCGCAATAGTGACGGCCAATTTTGCGGTCTCCTCCAGTCTATTTTCAGGATCGGGTCTGGGTTCCCCGGTACTGCCCGCGACGGAGTTCTCCTTCACCCTGAGGTTCCGGACGCTCTCCATAATCTCCTTTTCGGCGAGCAGCGCCATCTCCTCGCGTTGGGCCTTCAGGTGCGCCTCCTTGGCGCCGTGAGGCCAACGTATTGCCCGTATTGTGGGCGGTCTTCCTCGACCCCTTTTGGACGATGTCTTGGAGGTTGTGGCTCTGTTGGGCGAGCGCACCGTATCTTCAGCTGAACTGCTCCCAGTTCTGTCCGGACTGTATGCTTTGTTCCTTTTTCTTCTATTCCTGGTCGGGGACGAACGGGTTGAGCTGGCAGTGGCCATGCCGTCGTCTGACAGGATACTAATCACTTCAATGTCCTTCACGGACCCTCCTCTACTTACATCGTTTCCTCCGTCCTTCACGGACACACTACCGCCGTCCTTCTCGGACCCCTTAGAGCAGTTATTGCCCCCCCCAGAAACGGTGGGGCAGCGTGCGGCCGATCTCTCGACCGCACGGCGGGATTCTCCCCCCGCAGAGCGGACGCTAACCCTCCTGGGGTAGATTCATCGTTCATAACTGCATCATTTCATTTTTGGTTTTCGCTGTTTTTATTAACCAGGGGTGCGGTCCCCTGGGACGCCCTCACGACTGGTCTCCCACCAGCCATGCATCCCATCTCCGGGCGCCAGAGCTTAAGATTGGGGTATTTTTTATAGAGGTTTACGTCCTCGCGGCCCCGTACCTCGCGGCAGCGGCCCCCGTCCCCCACACGGTGAGGATTACGGGTTGGCCGGCAGTCCATCGAGTGCAACGAGCAGCACGACAGACCACCGCCCGACGCTCGAGTGGACAATAATCCACGAAGCCACGCCGGCCGGTATACCGGTACCCCCCTCAGGAGGGCGTGCCCCTGTAGCCGAAGCCGGGGACATGGCAACCAGCGGCCAGCAGTCGCATAAATGCAACGCTGGCTCACTCCTACGACAACAGGGCACAGAGTGCCACCGCTCACGGCACGCCGGCAGTCCGCTGCCGGCGGAAGCTGCGTTCTCCAGAAGGAGGGCGCAGTTCTCCCGCTCCCCCTAGTGCTGGTTTGGTCCGCGTCATCCGATCTCTTTCGTTGCAAAGCCTAACTAAGCTATCCTACACCTAAGTCTAATCCTAAGCCTAGAACCTACGCCTAAGAATCCTTGCAACGAAAAAGATCGGACGATACCTCTGGGAATGTCGCCCAGAGGATCCCGTTATCCGCCACCTACGGACGCGCCCGGTGGGAGTTCAGCACAACTCCCCCACAGACGGAGCCCCCGGCCACGCAAAGTGCGCGCCGGGGGGCCCGCCCAGGTCCCGGGAACCTAACCTAACCTAACCTAACCTAACCTAACCTAACCTAACCATATTTGTAAAAAACTAGATATAAAATTGTGAATAAAATAAGAAATAGATAGTAAGCTGTAGACATAACAATTTAACACTGTACTGTAAGAAAAAAGAAGTTGAAAAATATTGTAGCTATATTGTATTGGACAATGTGTACACCACTGTTACAATAAACGGTCACATACGTAGTCACATCATTCCCCCAAGAGATAACAATAAAAGATAGTCAAAGTAGCGGGAGTCCCACCCGGCTAAGAAAGTAAGGTGATGGATGAAAGAAAGAAATAGTATGAGGCATGTCAGTGCGAGAGGCATACAAGCGAGAAATAGTATGAATGTGTTACATAGAATAATAAGGTCCTGCCGAGCCTATGGGCGGGGAAAGGAAACCTAACCTAACCTAACCTAACCTAACCTAACCTGACCCTAACCTGACCCTAACCTGACCCTAACCTGACCCTAACCTAACCCTAACCTGACCCTAACCTGACCCTAACCTAACCCTAACCTGACCCTAACCTGACCCTAACCTAACCCTAACCTAACCCTAACCTAACCCTAACCAACCTAAAGGCAACACTTTGATAATGAATAAATGTTAAATTATAATTATTATAACCTCGCGGTAGCTCAGTTGGAATTAGGCCAACGTAAGCATCATGTTGCGTCAGCCTACATCGAACCTAATTCCGACCCTAACGGCACAATATCTGCCATGGACAAATTCTTCACCGAGACCAAGGGAAGCCATCGCATAATTGGGAGCGATCTAAATAGAAAGCATCCCGGCTGGGTTGAGCTGATAACTGACGGTCGTGGCACGGACATCGCAGACCTGGCCGCCACACATCTGCAACACGGGCACTACCCCAATTTTCGGCCATAACATTCGGCAAGTTCAGCGCGTTAATATTAGATATCACACTGGTCTCCGACTCCACTCGTCCAACTTGATCAGGGTTTGAGGGTGAACCTTGAAGCGTGCCATAGCTCCGACCATAATGCAATAGACTTCACGATACACAGTTCTGAAAATTTTACCAAGCCAAAATCTACTACTACATTTAAATATAACACTAACAGAGTCCAATGGTGGGAGTTTCGCGGCTCGCTTCAGTCCAAGTTGCAAGACTGCAACCTCATACACGCCACACCGTAATCTTATCGTATCCAGGCAGAGAGACTTTTTACAAGAAGCCCGCTGCGACCCCTTACAATCCGTGGTGGAGTAATGATTTCGAAAACTTCAAGAAAGGCGTCATAAAGGTCCATCATCGCACATGATTTGAAGGTCTCGGGGAGACCCATCACCGAAGCCGTCAACGCCCACAAAGCGTCCAAAGAAAAACTGAAACAAAAGATCAAAAACACCAATAAAGCTTAAACTACGTAAAAGCACTATTAAAAGCGTCTACCGAGCACTTCCGCGAATTTTGCTCCACCCAGAGTAAGGAGAATGTGTGGAGCCTCACGAACCACCTACTTAAAAAAGGTTCGAAGAGCGTACGTAAAAAAATATCCCAAAACCAAATAAGACTGACCCGACTGACCTCTCGTCCTTCAGGCCCATTAGACTGCTCTCTGTATTTGGGAAACTGCTAGAGAAGGTGTTTTCCAAACGCATAGCCTACCATTTAGAGCGCACGGAACAATATCACCCCCGACAATTTGGTGTCCACGGTCGACGCTCTCCAGGCAGCCATCGAACAGATCATCGACGCAAAAGCCGCGGGAAAATAACTAATCACGGTGTCATAAGACATCAAGGTGGCTTTTGACAACGTCTGGTGGCCGCACCTCCTGCCTCGCTTTCGCGCACTTAACTGCCCCAAAAATATTTATAATTTGAACAAAAATTACTTGGAAGACAGAGTTGCCACCCTCGACTATGGGGACGCCACTGCCACTAAAAGCACATCGAAAGGCGGTATACAATGATCAGTATGTGGGCCTAAGTTTTGGAACGTGATACTGGACAAATTACTAGAGACTGATTTACCACACGGTGCCCATATACAGGCCTTTGCAGACGATGTGCTCCTCACAGTTGAGGGACCCACTGCAGGTGAAATCCAGCAAATCACCAACGAAGCTCTCCAAATTATCTTAAATTGGGGCGAGGAGTTGAACTGGCTTTTGGCCCATCAGACACAAGCCGTAGCTTTTATACTGCTTCATCGAACACCGCGAAAATCACGATGAACTAAGTGCAGGTACCTTTCTCCAAACAAATCATACTCCGCGGGGTCGTCCTCGACGACAAGTTAAATTCTTTGAGCATTGTAAGTACCTCATAACAAAGACGACGAAAATATTCAAAAAATTGGTGCAATTCGTGGACCGACGTGCGCGCACACACCTACAACATCAGCACCATTTATCGGCGGGTCATACAGCCCATGTTCACCTATGCGGCCAGGATATGGGGCGGGGATACAAAATTTTATTGTGTGCGCAAGGCTCTCAAGGCGTTTCAGCGCCAATTTGCCATTGAGCAAATAGAACTTTCCGCACCGTATCTGCTGGCACAATTTATCCCACTCCAGCTCGCCATCGCTAAGGCCAAGGAGATCCAAGACGTTAAGCCCATGGGTACACTATCAGATAGGAATATATCAGGTAGGCAATAGCTTGGCTCTGCCCATGACATTGCTGAAGTCCATGGGCGACGGTAACCACTCATTAACTGAAGTCGTCGTGGCCTAACGGATAAGACGTTCGGTGCATTCGTATGTAGCGATGCACCGGTGTTCGAACCCCACATGCGGGTACCAATTTTTCTAATGAAATACGTACTCAACAAATGTTCACGATTGACTTCCACGGTGAAGGAATAACATCGTGTAATAAAAATGTAACCCGCAAAATTATAATTTGCGTAATTACTGGTGGTAGGACCTCTTGTGAGTCCGCGCGGGTGGGTACCACCACCCTGCCTATTTCTGCCGTGAAGCAGTAATGTGTTTCGGTTTGAAGGGCGGGGCAGCCTTTGTAACTATACTTGAGACCTTAGAACTTATATCTCAAGGTGGGTGGCGCATTTACGTTGTGGATGTCTATGGGCTCCAGTAACCACTTAACACCAGGTGGGCTGTGAGCTCGTCCACCCATCTAAGCAATAAAAAAAAAGAAAAAAGATATACAGAGTGATATAACTCTACGACAAAAAGTCCCTGTATAAGACCTACTCCATCCAGCAAGTCGCGTCGCCATAGAATATACCGAATCCTACACCCAGGAAGATATCGATCAACATACAAGGGAATTCCCCGTAAAACTGACGGCAGCAAGCTGGACGGCGGCGAGGTCGGTTGTGCTACGGTAATATATTTACCAAACAATAAAACTATAGTACTCAAACGGAAACTTGGACGCACTTCTTCCGTCTTTGTCGCCGAACTGACCGCGATTGAGACTGGACTCCAATGGTTGCAAAGGTCACCGCTGCGCCAAGATCTTACAGTGGCAACAGACAGCCAATCCTCCCTTAAAGGGCTGGAAGTCTGCAGCAACCCTGATCCAACAGTCGCATCGATCCACGGTACGCTTAAAAACCTCAGGCAGAACCACGGAATAAACGTGAGCTTCACCTGGGTAAAGGTACACTGTAGAATCGAGGGCAATGAACGCGCTGACCAGGCAGCGAAAGAGGCTGCTACACCAAAGATGCCCCGGTTGAAATCATTATGCGTCTCATCAATAAAATAGTCCGAGAACTAAAGAAAATCTAGTAATAAATAACGAAAGAACTAAACTAACTAAAAGAACTAAAAATCTTGTGAAACATCGCAAGAAACATATCCGCATTAAACTGATCAAAAAATGCTAAATTTATGAAATAAAAAGTGAGGCTTAGGTTACGTTTTTCGCCGAAGCTCCTACTAAGAAAGAAACTGCCTAAAAATTTTCTATCAGAATTTTCTTGTTCCGTAGGGAAGATGCAAAGAAAGTCAGATTAATGTCGATTTAGGATTATTTAATGAAGTAATAGTTGCCGGTCAGTGTAGGAGTAGAAGTTAGGTATTAGGTAGCGGAAGTTTGGTAAGTTATTGAAACAAATTAATTAATTAATTTATTTATTTTATTAGGCTCACAATACACATCACAAGCTAAAGATACATAAAAAACACAAATAAAAAGAAACAAAATCTGGCTTGCAACATAAGTTATGTGCGCACGACAAAACAAGACATATAGTGCTGAATTTGTATAACAATGTTCCTTACAATTATGACAAAACAACACAATAACAAAAACTAATCTAACGAA